CATTCGTGTGTGACACGAGTGGTACTCAAGGATACGCCCTCCAAAGGGGGCAAAATGCCCCCATTGACCACGAAAGGGTTAATAAAGTGAGCGTTCACTGTATTAAGTTGCCTGTTCTTTTGTAATAGTATTTAGCATTTACTGTAACTATTGTAGCATGACCGGTTAAATAAAAACTTCTTTTCCTTCCTGTTTATTTATCTCTATAACTTTGTTCTATTTATATTCAGCATCATACGATATTTACTTAATTTACCATGCATTACTATATATAGAGACGGCGATTGATGTTAGTCCTATTGCCGTATGATGCGGCTGTCCTGTACCCAATACATAAGCCGCAAAGGTTGTATGCCTGCTTCGGCTACTCTAGTTTTTCACTTTGCTATTTTCAAGCTCCTCATCAAACGACTTCGACTATCCCAACCACACTCCACTCTTCCGGTAGTCAACATCAGCGGTATATTCGCCTAGAAGCCAGTTCTTCCGTTATGCTGTGGCCGTCTTATTGACATGCAAGCCTGTACTACGGGACGCTCTGAGGGTCCCCCCTTCTTCTATATCACTTTTTACATTGTCGGGCGACAGTGAGGACTTCTCAGGGACTATAACGCCACACCGGCGTAGAGTTACAGCCCGTGTTCGACAAAGAAGCACCGACAGTGACGAAAAGGCCGCAGAAGAGACCCTCGGTGACTTAAATACGCGCAGTCCGTGTGTCAGCGATGGAGACGATGACTATGAATATGCCAACGACAGCGAAGACAGCAGTAACAGCGATGTATACAACCACGAACATGACACTGCATCTACTCAAGATCAAGACCAAGATCAAGAAGAGGAGTTGGTAATCACCGAACATCCCATCCCTTTTTCAACAATGCAAGAGGCTCGGGTTGCGCTTGACGGTCTCGAAAACGCCAGGTTTGCTGTGGACTACAACGGGAAAACGCTTACAGTTCTTTATTGCACTTCGCATGCGGGCTGTAATGCTGCTGCCAAGATCAAGATGAATCCAAACTGAGAATACATTTTGTCGCAGACTGGGACACATTCTCCTGTAGTAGTGCCGACAAATGCTCAGAGAACGGGTATTCACAAACCGCTTCTGACAGAAGTCGACAACCTTCTTCTTGGTGGTTAAGGCCCAAAACAATGTCTGGGTACTCTTCAGAGCAGGTATGAAAAGTCTCCGGAGGTATTAGCGCTACTACCAACAGCCAGGCAACTGAAAAATAAGGCTCACAAGCTCCGAAAAAAGGGGGATTTTTCGATCACGACATACGCTGATTTAATGGTATGGGCGTCGCCAAGAATGTGCACTACGAAGGAAATGTTCTTCCAGCATATGGCCTACAACATTGAAGAGGATGGAGAGAGGATCCTGAAACAGCCTTTCGACTATCAGAACGAGCTCCTCGTTTTGGACACGTTTTCGGAAAAGTTGGACAATGGTGAGATTTCTTTGGGCATCATTTTTACCTCGAGGCGTTTATTCCGTACTGGTCCACGAGCAATCATTGGGCAGCGGTCCATGCACAGATCATTGATGGACTTTCTTGCTGCAACGGACGGAGCGTACAAACTTCACATCGGCGGCTATACTCTGGTTTCGTTTGGAACATTCGGGGTGCACTACGGTGAAACAGAAAAATACCACCAGACCTTCTATCCCATGGCTTTCATGTTTGTTCGTACCGAAACAGCATTCGCCACCAACCGACTTTTTCAAGTATGCCAACACCGCTGCCTGGAGTTTTTCAACGGTTCCCTGTGTCCTCGTTTCGGTTCAATGGATCACTCACGTCCAATTGCAAATGCTTTCCGCCAAATTTGGCCAGAGATAAAGTTGTTGAACTGTTGGCCGCATCTACATAGAAAGGCGCGTGAGAAAATGGGGCTTTTGGTTGAGAAGGAGAGCTACGATGAGAACATTAAGACGCAACTCGAGTATCTGAGTTAGGCCCGGTCTGCAAGCCAAGTTGAAGCTTTGTGTGCATTGGTGGTCGATAAATGGGTTACTCTTGGTGAAATCGAATACGCCCAATGGCTCGAGACAGAGTACCTGACGGAACCTTGTGATTTATAGTTTTACAGTGCGAGCGATGCGCCAGGGGTTGCACCGAATCAAAATCCTATTGAATCGCATTATCGGAAGATAAAGGCTACTGCAGTAAACCATCTTCGGGCCGCAACAGGTCACGTTTTGGCAGGGACTTTGCCCAAAATTTTGATAGCAAGTGCTATGGATATTGGCACTGAACCTATTCGGCATTTCGCATCGGGACCTGTACATTCTGACCTGCTAACGACCGCTCTGCTACTGTGCAAAGATGATAACCACCACCCGAAACACAAAGGAAAAAGCCCCCGTGAACTCAGCAACATTGATCGGTACTTCTTCAACGCTTACCCCTACGTAGTGCGAGACGATAACGCCCTTGGAGTCAAGGTAGATGGGTTTAGAACTCGGACCTACAAAGGCTCCCTTGAGGAGGTTCTTAGGCGAAATGAGACCGTGGAAAATATCCCGCTGAAGTATCTGTCACTCCACGCTGTAAAGGTTATGGCACAGTTTCCAGTCCGCCATGATTGGGACTCTCCGTCATGGAGTGTTCACGAAATCGAACGCATCCGGAACAAGTACAAATGTGACTGCAAGGAGTTCTACCAAACTGGGTGGCTGTGTGTGCATATCCTGGCGACTCTACATCTCGTTGATTCGCTTGACTTGAAGATGATGATTCGTAATTTCCCGGCCCGTAAACCTCCAGGGCGACCACGGAAGAAGACACGGTGCCTCGATCGCGACGACACAAGAAAATCTCAGTATTCGGTCAATGCTTTGGTTAAGCGATTGACGGAAAAGCCGGCCAGTGTGATTAACTGGAGTATTTTGACAGTGCAAACTTCCAGCGACGAGGAAGGCGAGGAAACACAGTGTAACTACATTGGCAAAATCAAACCTCCTTTCATGCGCGGCGGTAAATGGCACTGGGACATAGAGTACGAAGAACTGGCCAGGACCATCAACTACTCGTTCCAGATGGGGCACAACTTAGTGCCCAACTAGCGTTACCCTACGCCTGCATGGATAATGCATCCTTGATTGCGTAAAAGTACGAACAGAAAACTATAAAACTAACCCAAAAATAAAATAAAAAAACTCGCATGGAAACACTGTCATACAAAAGAGCCAAAAGGTATCTGAGCCGCTGCACACGTTGCATATGGATTCATTGGGGAAAATAAGACCCCAGGGTCTTTATACTACTACTGGGCACCAGTACGCTCTAGCAATAGTGGACGATGCTACTGCTTATAAATGGTACTTTGTAATGAAGTCTCTTAAAGAGGTAGGGACTATAGTAAAAAAAAACCTTATTAAGTAGCTGGAAAAACAATTCCCATTCAAGGAAAAACGGATAAGAACAGACGGCGGTACTGAATTTGTCAACGATTTTCTAAAAGGGAACTGCACTAGGAATGGAATTGTGTACCAAAAGTCAAATGTAGAGTCTCAAGAAGAAAATGGGTCCGCTGAGCGAGCTCACCAGACAATAATGGGTAAAGTTCGGTGCGCATTAATAAGGTCAGGTATGGCTACTAAATGGTGGCCAGATCAATTGAAATATATGACAGTGGTAACTAATAGTATACCGACAGCCCGACTTAAGGGAATATGTCCACACGAAGCGCTATTTGGGACCAAACCAACTGGGGTGGATCTTCAAATATAGGGAAGTACATGCTACGCCCATGTACCAAAATCAAAAGCAGGCCAATCCGAAGCTCAGTGAGCGGGCTGTAGAGTGCAAATTGCTGGGTTTCTCCGAAGATTAGAAAGGATATCGTCTACTCGATATTAAAGGAAATAGGTACATCAACGCTCGTGATGTAAAATTTGGGACAACATATACTGAGGGACTGATATCACGCTCCTTTCCGTCCGGGGAAATTGTGAAATGTGATGAAATGGTCCTGGAAGTAGGAAAGAGAAAAAGGGAAAGAGAACCAAATCTATTTGACGGCTCTCCCCGGAAACGCGCCCGCTTTTTAGAAACTGTGTTCTAAACTAGAAATTCAGATATGAACAAACAAATTTACTGGATTCTTAAAATTGCAACTACCACGCCTGCCATAAATTGACCCGAGGTAGGTTTAGCAGGGAAAATCCAGGATCGCCTCATATACTCGTCTAGATAGGCGCCTAGACGGTCGATGCCCATGCCTCTCATTGCCTTGATGTGACGCTTGATCCGCGTCTCCCACAACCCTTCAATAGTGTTAGTATGGGTCCCAGTATTAGGGTTCACAAAGTTTTCACTGTGATTTACCCAACTGTGCAAATACTTCATAGACAACAGTGTTCTGTTGTTTTCCAGTGTGAACTGCTTCCCACCTCTTTCACAGACGTAGGTAGCGAACATGTCGGACATGATATGCGTCCTATTACAGAGATGAAGAGTTAGTTCTCTGGATTTTATCCAAAGTTGTTGGGGCGATACTACTGGAGGTACGAATCACCGCGAGAACATATAAACTGTATTGCTTAATATGAAAGGAAATTATAGAAATGTTTAAATGACTTGTCAATATTTATCACCGTGTATATGTTATTAATATCCAATGCATGTTGCTTGAGTCATTTACGGGCGACATTACAACCAACACTCTGACAATGATATAATCATAAGGAACAAATTGTTACCTACGAGCTCTTGGATAATGACTACTTACAAGCCACAAGTTCTTTTTTCTCTCATCCCTCACCATTTAGCACTAAGGGCAAAAGCAACTCGAACTAAGTACTAACCACTACAGCCTCGTGTGGTAAGACGCCACCGTCGCAGCCATTACCTTTCCCACCCCAAAGTTTGTACTTATGTTAATCATCTGAACTTTATGGCGCCTCAATACGTTTCAACTGCCACATCCCACACCACCGTCGCAGTCACAACCTTACCCACTCGAACGCCCTACAAAGTTTCTTACTTTTGTTATTGATCCAACAGCCTTAGATATTGCTTACATCAAATTTTCTTCATTTAGTCAACAGCCTTAGATATTACTTACATCAAATTTTCTTCATTTAGTTAACCAACATACTTTCCACAGTTAAGTCTTACGTTACCGTCCCAATTGTGCCATGTTCAAGCCCAACGTCGCAGGTATTCGTTGTGGTCACTCGTCGTAACTTTCATTGTGGATTTTCGATCCAAGGGCACATTGACTTGCGTTTATTTTACTACTAAAGTCTCCCACTCACTAAAGGTTCCGGAATCCATGTCACTTATTCAACAGCCGCAGCAAGCTCGCGCGAACGAGCAGGAAGAAACAACTATTATCTCTGTTCCAGATAATCGCCAGTGTATCCGTCGAACAACACAAACTAATTTAACCCAGGTCGGTCTCATGACTTTACAAAACGCCACTGGAGTTTCAGCTTCTCAAATCGGTACGACCATGCTGGCTAAAGATGCGAACCCACTTGTGATAACGAAGGATGCTACTTACGCCAAAAGCAAAACGCGCTCCGATATATTAGCACCTAGTACAAGTGTTTATGCGTTGTTCTCATATGAAGGCGGAGAATTTCCACAGCTACCACGAAGTTGACGCGTTTAACCGTATTCGATATGTGATGTGGATCCACCCTGAAACGACCAAGTTGGCCCAAGCTTTTCCTTCCACTTCCAAGCTACTACACCGTTGGCATATCAATCGCAACGTCCTTGTCCAAGCTAAAAAGAAAATGAGCAAGTGAGTGTGCCGAACGTAGCTGTTTGGTAAGAAGATAAAGAACACACTGGATACGGACACTTTTATGGCTAAATACTTTGGGACGTTCGATGCTGAGACTGATATGCATTTAATTGCCGCTGTGGTGGTATTTGCAAGCTGTCCAGCAGTATGGGAAAATGTCTTATAAAGAGTGGTGGCCTTACATGAAGAAAATTATAAAATACTGGACAGATCATTATCGTCATTTTAAATATCAATTTACAACCACGGTTGAGGTACTGATGCATCCATGAAGCGGCGGCTAGACAACTCGAAAGAGAAGTCAGTCGATTTTTGTCACTCATATTCTGCCTTGGCGGGTCGGTGCTGCTAGACGTAACAGCCTTCAAATTACCCGTGATAAGAATGACATTCCAATGCGCTTATGTGTAGATGATTGCATTTCCGCAATTAATCAAATAACAAGCGTCTGGGCATTGGCGGAAACATTTGAAAGCTGGGACAAAGCACACAAAGTTGTTGTTCACAACCTCGAGCGCAGTGTGTGTAATGGTGCGTTCCATCAACTGTACGGCGACCCTGTATCACTAAAAGGTGCACATCATAGACTCCAATGATCAAATTAAGTTGACTAATCTCCTCGACAAACATTGGTGGTTACCTGGGATATCTACAGAGCGAACGGATAGAATTCTGGAGCCTGCCAGAACCAAACATCTATGCTGGTCACAATCAAGGCCACATAGGGAAAATGTCATGGAGAGCATTGCAATAGACGTGAACCTAGTTTATTTGAAAGAATTGAAGAGTCTATCACGACTCGCAAATGGTCATCACGTAGCTTTTTATCATTCCGATGCAGTTGAAGACGAAGATTATGAGCCCACATATCTGCAACCAGGAGTGTGGGGGTACGTTGGACTTCAAACCCTAGGTGAATAAGTGTCACATTACCTACTGAAGGCTAAACTGAGATTGAAGGTTAGGGTCAGTAAAGAGCATGAGCGTTCAACTTCATATAAAGTATAAGATAACTGCATGATTTTTCTTGCTCTGACACCAATGAGCGATTCTATATCTACGTCAAAACAAAATACAGCATGAAATTTGTACATAGACTATTTGTTAAAACTAAAAACATTTTTATTGTGATTGAAGACACAGTTTAAAGTTGATGACTTAGCGGACTTTTTTCCTTATCGTTTTTAAGAATAGTAAATGTTTTGACTTGTCAATTTAGCAAATGGCAAAATTGTATTTTGAATCTCATTAAGCTCGGTCTAAAGCGTGCAGGTGGACCATTACTTGAGAATTGCTTGCAGCTACGGGTTCGGGTGGCCCTCCTGGAATCTTTGACAGCAGTCCGTCCAATACCTTGTCAAGCAGACTACCGACCAGTAGGTCACCCCACTTACAGCGCAAGTATTAAAACTTATTCTTGCTTTTACGACGTTTCTTGCGGTCAGATTATTGCTGTTGAACGCGCTAAAGGAAAGGTCCGGTTATCTTCTATTCGCTGACTTAGTGCATTCTCCAGAAGATGTCCTAATGATTCTCTAGCTGAACTGGTACGGACGAAAGCTTCGCTCGCCGAGATACACACCGAGCGGGGAGTCTCCATAAGGTCGACCAGCTTTTGAACAGCGATTCCGCCTCCAAATCGACAGGTGCTCAGAGTTAAAGCGGTAACGTCGGTCAGCCGACGGTCGGTGCTCTGGCGGTGACGGCAGAGGAGGATGTCGGGCGTCACCAGCAAAACTTGAGTACCTTTTACAGTAGCGTAAGGGTCAGGATCGTCGGCCATCCCAATCTTCCTTGTCACGTCCGGTGTCAGACTACGACGGCGCCGTTGCAGGCGACGCTGCAGCTGCAGGATTCAGTACAGCTGGTGCAGGCAGCGTAGCAAAAGTGGCACGGGCTATGCTAGGGCTGCTGGTGGATGTCAAACCGCAGGCGACGACGGGGATGAACATGGAGGGGCCAGCAGAGAGTCTAGTGGCGACAAGTACCGCCGCGGTGGGATATGATGAAACCGACGGTGGTTGTGCAGTCGGGCCGAGCTCTAACAGGGACTTTGAATCACCGGTCAGGAGCTCCGGTAGATCATCAATCGTGTAGTCTCCGAGGTCGACGTGGTCTGGCGCTCCGGGCGCCGAAGGAGGAATTGTGACAAGCGAACACAGGTACGCAGTCGCAGCGATGAGATCAGACACCAACCCGAAGTCAACACTCGCTCCTAGAGCGACAGTACTGACATATGTATGATTGGATGATAAACGCATGGGAAACATACACCATGCAGAAGCCACGTGGTTTAATTGAGAATGGTAAAAAACAAATAAGGCTCGTATATATAGAGAAATAGAATAAAAACGGATCCATTCTTATCTTTCTTTAAAAACAAAAAAAAACAGAAGAACATACTATACACAAGCGAACCAAAGCATTAAAAGGCATAGCCATAATTGCCTATGTCTATAATGACAGTTGCGACAGCTGGCGCTACTTTGTATGGGATTAGAATTTCTCCTGGTTATACTATGAATGTGAGGAATGTTTTATAACGTTAAGAACAAATCGTCTTCTGGTAGCCATTCCAGACACCTTGCGTCTTAGCAGTTCCAGCAGCAACACGCAGGTTTAACAAAGCGTTGTCAACACTGTTGGGATAGCTACTTTTCAATATGCATATACATGAGTATCTACCAAAACTGAGGCCAAGCACAATCTTAACATTTGTCCTTTTTTCTTGCTGGGGTTATAATTTAAACGATCTTTACAGCCCCGCGTCAATGTTAACTAGTGTGTTGACTCTGTATTTAATGGTTACTTCTGACTATATATAATCTTAGATTAAGCAAGAAGATGGAGCAAAGGAGAAGAGGGCTCCATCGGGGATTTGCACAGAATAATAATAAAAAATGTCTAAAGTCGGCTTTTGCCGTCCTTGACTGTGTCGACTTATATCGATTTGCTTCCTACTCTGTATGTTGGTGCTAACGACTAGCTCACAGGATTATGTAGTGCTGAAAAATTTATAGCAAAGACACCACACTATTTTTGTGTTACCAAGAAACTTCCTTGGGCAAGAAACCCTACTATCAAAGCATTTTTTTAAATACTTGCTGCTCCAGGTTACGTTTCTGCGCCTCGGCTGGGTGCAACTTCAGAGATGCTACATTTCTAACGGCGCTACTGTGGACTCAGGTTCATTGTTGCAGAACAAGATTACCAGGCTTCCCAGCCTAAAGCCAACGGCCTTTTGTTCAGAGCCACTGCAGTCACATCGTATTAGCAAAGTCGTATTGAATCAGGAGGTCTCATAACGTAGCGGTTAGGGTAACATACCTAGGTCGTACTAGCGGTGCAGCAGTATTAGCCTAAACCGGCGGCTCGTGGTTGGCAACAAACCGGTCACACCGGAGGCTGTTGTGTATTGGGCTCACTGTATGCCCACTACTTCGGCTTACACGTTGACGCACGTGTATGCGTAGTTTGTTTAAACTTAGATTAAATATACTTACGTCTTGTAAGTATATATTTACTTAAATAAGAAAGCAAAGCCGATTTACCGTAAAATCGAGAACTGTTGTTTATCTTTATGTGTTGTGTTTGGGTTTCCTCCTAAAGTGATATTCTAAATGAAAGGTGTTTGCTAACGAGCGGTTGGCAGAATCCTGCTAAGCTAATTGGTTGAAAGAGATTGCCTTTCAACCAATAGAAAGTCTAAATGCACACAGACCAGTGGTCTGTCAAATGTAACCATTGGTGTATCTCACACCAAGGTGAGACCCATTGTTGTAATCAAGTGGCTACACGTAGCCACTTGGGTGTAACCCCGTTACAGTTCTTCGCGGTCAACACTGTACGTCGGCAAGCCGTCATGCAGTCAATAGCGATCAACTTAAGCACGACTGCGCGGAGACAATTTTCGCCGCGCTGCTTTCGATGGATCTTTGGACGTACACAAGAATTCAAATTTGAGCCAAGGTGTGTACGGGGTTGAGAAGGAGGTGGATAAACTGTTAACATACCATTAATATACAATAGTGAGTGCGCTTAACGCGCAACAATTGCATCGACAAGTGGCTTAGCCAACGCCATTACATGCCTCAGCTGGCGGCTCACAAAGAAACCCACCCAACCAAAACAGTTATGGTGGGTCTGGCAAGAATACGATGTGCTCCACGGCACTTTACTTCAAAAGTTTGAAAGGGCGAGCTATGTAGTCAATGGTCAGAGATGCCGTTGCTGTGATAGCACCCCATGTGAGTGGGAATAATTCGTGGGGTACATATCTGCGAGTCTGTTCAGGATGCGGCCAGGCGGAGACATCGCGGCCGGCGAAACCTGGGTGCTGCGCTATATCAGCTCTATCACTTCCTGAAGCATGGAACACTGACGAGCCCACGCTTCAATTTCTAGTCTGCATCAAGACACATCTCACTCTGATATCTACACAAAGGTGGTTTTATTGTTGGTCAGCAATCTAAGCCTCTGGCAGCGTCAGATCATCTACTTTTGTTTTGGATCTATTTTTTTAAGCCGAGCTCGGCCTGTAGTTTCTTGTCCGAAGCGGTAATACATTCATCCACTGCGGACCTCGCTGTGAGCGACTCTAATGTAAACGCACATATATAGTGGAAGGCGGCGAAGCACTCAACATGGTAGCCACGCAAGCTTGCCGTGCACCCGTACTTTTTAAAAGGTCCCGCAACGAGCACAAATAGCACGATAATTTTCCATTTGAGTGCTTGTGGAGTCTGGTGTCAGTATGTGTTTGCTTGTGTCAGCGCCAACTATTTCTTGCACAGTTTCTCGCTGAGGTGTCGCCTGGCGATTTCTTCGGATTAGGCAAAAGTGTGTTGCCGTCATATGATCAGCAACTCGTCGCTTAAGTTCGCGCAGTGAAAGCTGCTTACACTTATCGGGAGGGATTTTGTTCATCAAGCAAAATGCGTTGATGAGCGACAGGTTTATCGCCCAGGTAAATATGCTCATCTCCAACCGAGCCTCTTTTCAACGTATTGGATTGATACTTCTCAACTGACCCGCTCGGTCAACTGCATTCATAAATATGCTGTAGACAGCTATAACCGCTGACGCGTCCAGCGTTTTGCGATGCAAATTCTATCCACCTGTCCATCGATGGATTGGAGCAAGGCCGTGACACAACCCAGTTGCCTCAGGTGACGATCCGATCAGGAGACACTGAGAAGGAGTTCCACTGAGGCCGTTCGTGCGAAAGACTACAGACTTTTTATCCAGGAAAATAATGAATCCGGCGTGGTCCACTATTCTCACTGTAGTAGAGAATGCTGTTCTTTTTGCTACTGAAAGTTTCTGTTGAGCACGGTTATCGGCAGCTTGAGGGGATATTTATCGCTTGGCTCCGCAACGAAGGCAGCCCGACTCCGCAACGAAGAAATCAACTCTGATTGGTTAAATATTCTATGTAATTAGGTCATAAACTGCGCTTTATTTAAACATATTTTAAGCGAGTAGTTTCGAAAAAATGTTATTTATTAATACAACGCTGTCTGTGTAGTTTAACGTAACGAAAGGAGCCTTCATCGCCGAGCATTCGAATGCCGATTGATCTGCTTACCGAATATGGATACACAGAGGTCGGGCTACATGCAGTGTTTTCATCCGGAGAATTAGCAGGGAGATTCATAAGCGACTTCGC